CCCTCTGCGACAGTTTGCTGCTGATTTCATCCAGATTCTCCCTCTGCTGCCGTGGAGCGGCTCCGGAAAACAAAATGTTCAGGAACTGACGGTCGAGTCGTTTGGCGCCAGGAGACGAAGCGTCAAACTATTTGTCTGAAGTCGTCTTTACATCGTCCTCCGTGAATATTTGTAGAGCCCAGAATATGAAACCATTTGAAAGTACAAAAATGTGTGACTCTAACTTGGAGTGTTAGCAAAATATCTCAATGAGAAGTGAACAAAACACGTCGGAAACATTCAAGACGAGAATCTGAAGAAACTTAACGATAAATTTCATGAAAACTTGTTTCTGTTTAATATTTTAAACTTAAGTTGGACAAACTGCTGCTGGTTTTAAATTTGAACTGGTTTGACTTTAAATGTGATCATTTGAACTGGTTTGACTTTAAATGTGATCATTTGAACTGGTTTGACTTTAAATGTGATCAGATCCTCGGAGTCTGACGGGAGAGATTTAAAATAAATCATGAATTGCTGAAGGTAAAATAAAATAATCTGCAGAGATTATTCAATATTCAGACGCCCCCCTCGCAGCTCAGGAAACATCTGGACAGATGCTCAGAGGACAGACTGGGGGACATCAGAGGGTTCAGACTGGGATCCCAATCTAAGCTCAAGTGAATAAAGAAGAGATTCCACCGTTCCAACACGAGGCCAAAATAAATAAAAGTTGTTTGTTTGTTTTTCTGCTCCGGAGCGTACAGGACCATGTTAGCACAGCACCAAGCTGGAAAGACATCAGCAATGACCTTAGAGAAGCAGCTGATGTTGTCTGTCAATCTGGGAAGGGTCAAAGGTCATTCAGAGTCCATCGTTCTACAGAACATTTCAGACCGCTGATTCACCCTGAAGGTCAGACTGTGCAGTGAGCTACAGGCCTCAGTCAAAGGTCACGACCTCCTCTCTAAAACAAGCATGGCAGCGTGACTTAGGTTTGGGATGGTTCATCCGAAGGAACCACAAGACTTCTGGACCAGAACCAGACCAGAGGACACGTCTAGACCATGGATCTTCTGCAGTTTTTTCTATTTTGGCTTCATTGTTGTGAAATAAATAACGATGCGATGGAATCTGTTGTGTTTTGGGTCTTTTAAGGTTAGATTGGAGTCCTTTTAGAACCCAGTGAAGACCAGACCAGTTTATTGTCCTGACAGAGACCGTAGAACCGAACGGTTCTGTTTACCCGACTCTGTTCTGAGGCTGGATGGTTAAAACATTCAGTTCACAGGAACCAGGTTTTCATTCTGTTCATGAGGATCCTCTAGAAGACAGAGGTACAAACATGTTGCTCGTGTTCTGGAAGTTTGGTTCTCTACAACAATCCATTAATACCCAGCTGGCTTCGTGTGTGGTGTGTTTGTTCATAGATCTGTGCATGTTGCTGCGTGCACTTCATGTTGGTGTGTGTGGTTGTGCGTTCAGTCCAGGGCCAACAACGGCGTGCTGGTTTCTCTGTCCATCTGCCGGAGAGTTCCTGCTTCCACCGTCGACTGAGACCTGCAACACAAATCACTTCTTACTGGACAGTTTTACAGGTGAGCACACTATCAGAATCCAAAAACACACAAACACAGGTGGGTATTCTACCACAGCTCCTGAATTTAGACCCCAGGTTAGGGTTAATAAAAAGGGGTGGAGACATTGTGGTTTTCATCCAAAAGGGGGTGGAGATATTATGATTTTCATCCAAAAAGGGGAGGAGACATTGAGGTTTTCATCCAAAAAGGGGTGGAGACATTGTGGTTTTCACCCAAAAAAGGGTGGAGATGTGTTTTTATTGTTTAAGAGGGCGGAGCCTCTGGGCTCATCACTCAAAATGGGTGGAAACATTGCGGTTCTTCCACAAACAGCACATGATGCCAAACCGTTCCATGTGAAATCATCTCCATGACAGCCACTATCAAACTGATTTTAAACCAAACTCCTCGTTTGATCAAACAGAACGCACTTGGTCAGAAAATCACTCCCAATAAAACTCACTACATCGTTTGACTCTCAGGAAATATTACTCACATTTTATTACCAGTACAACATTCTTCTTTAGGTTGAAATTATTAAAAATGAAACAGAGTTCAAATATCTTGGGATGGTTTTAGACCCACATCTAAAAGTTGAGAATCATATAAACAACATTTCAAATTAATAAGGCCTTATTATATTTCTGTACAGGCTGCTCTTCGGTATATGCATGCCATAATATTCCCTCATATCATATTGTCTGTCATCATGGGCTCAGGCTGTCACAACAGCTGTTAAACCAGTGGTCTCATTGTACAAACCGGATTCCAAAAAAGTTGGGCCACTAAACAAATTGTGAATAAAAACTGAATGCAATGATGTGGAGGTGCCAACATCTAATATTTTATTCAGAATAGAACACAAATCACAGATCAAAAGTTTAAACTGAGAGAATGTTTCATTTTAAGGGAAAAATCTGTTGTTTCCAAATTTCATGGCGTCAACAAATCCCAAAAAAGTTGGGACAAGTCCATTTTTACCACTGTGTGGCATCCCCCCTTCTTCTTACAACACTCAACAGACGTCTGGGGACAGAGGAGACCAGTTTCTCAAGTTTAGAAATAGGAATGCTCTCCCATTCATGTCTAATACAGGCCTCTAACTGTTCAATCGTCTTGGGCCTTCTTTGTCGCACCTTCCTCTTTATGATGCGCCAAATGTTCTCTATAGGTGAAAGATCTGGACTGCAGGCTGGCCATTTCAGTACCCGGATCCTTCTCCTACGTAGCCATGATGTTGTGATTGCTGCAGAATGTGGTCTGGCATTATCGTGTTGAAAAATGCAGGGTCTTCCCTGAAAGAGATGACGTCTAGATGGGAGCATATGTTGTTCTAGAACCTGAACATAGTTCTCTGCATTAATGGTGCCTTTCCAGACATGCAAGCTGCCCATGCCACAAGCACTCATGCAACCCCATACCATCAGTGATGCAGGCTTCTGAACGGAGCGTTGATAACAACTTGGGCTATCCTTGTCCTCTCTGGTCCGGATGACATGGCGTCCCAGTGTTCCATAAAGAACTTCAAATCGTGACTCATCTGACCACAGAACAGTCTTCCATTTTGCCACACTCCATTTTAAATGACCCCTGGCCCAGTGCAAACGTCTGAGCTTGTGGAGCTTGCTTAGAAATGGCTTCCTCTTTGCACTGTAGAGTTTCAGCTGGCAACGGCGGATGGCACGGTGGATTGTGTTCACTGACAATGCTTTCTGGAAGTATTCCTGAGCCCATTCTGTTATTTCCTTGACAGTGGCATTCCTGTTTGAGGTGCAGTGACGTTTAAGGGCCCGGAGATCACGAGCATCCAGTAGAGTTTTACGGCCTTGACCCTTACGCACAGCGATTGTTCCAGATTCTCTGAATCTTTTGATGATGTTATGCACGGTTGATGATGATAACTTTAAAGTCTTTGCTATTTTACGCTGGGTAACACCATTCTGGTATTGCTGCACTATCTTTCTGTGCAACAATGGTGGAATTGGTGATCCTCTTACCATCTTGGCTTCTGAGAGACACTGACACTCTGAGAAGCTCTTTTTATACCCAATCATGTTGTCAATTGACCTAATTAGTGTTAATTGGTCTTCCAGCTGTTCGTTATATGCTCAATTTCCTTTTTCCAGCCACTTATTGCTACTTGTCCCAACTTTTTTGGGATTTGTTGACGCTGTGAAATTTTGAATCAACATATTTTTCCTTTAAAATGTTACATTTACTCAGATTAAACTTTTAATCTGTCATCTATGTTATATTACGAATAAAATATTGACATTTGCCATCTCCACATCATTGCATTCAGTTTTTATTCACAATTTGTTTAGTGTCCCAACTTTTTTGGAATCCAGTTTGTATAACCAAACAATAAGAGTAATGGACAAAAAGACAATAAGATCACATCACAACCATAACTTAATGAGTTTTGAATGATTTTGTAATTTATGTTTTCTTAAATTAATTGTTAAGTGTATCAATAAGTTAGCTCCTGATCCATTGAGTTCATTGATACAGAAGCAGAACAGTTACAGAGTCACTGGAGGATCAGTAGAACAGAACTGTAGAACCTTGTTTGGTCAGACCTTCATATAAAACACAACATTATAGAACTTACTGCCCCCACATGTGAAAGTTACACCTGAACTAAAAAAGTTTGTTCACATGACTCAATCTTGGCTAAAGGAAAACCAAAGATGTGATCATTTTTAATATTCAGATTTTATGGATGAGAACGTCCGTGTGGGAGTGTATGTTTTAGTGAGTTAGTGTTATATTTACAATTTTTAGTATGTTAGCTGAATGTGTGGGGATGTGCAAGGATATTTATATAAATCTGGAGGTTGCCAGGTTGTTTGTGAATATGTAGGGAGGAAAACGTTTGTATTTTTATTGTATTTTGATTTATAAATTGTTCGTATTTTATTGTATGGTTTTTATTATATGAGTTTGGAGGTTGTAAGGTTGATTACATGAATATGTAGGTATTCTTTCTGTATTTTGATTTATTTAAATTGTATTTTAATTTAGAAATGTCCAACCAGGGACTGGAGTTGAGAATTAGCTGTAGCTACATACTCTGTGTGCGGCGCATCAGTCGCAGACTGTTCTGTTTGTGTGTCCCGGTCAAATAAACTAATAAATGAAATGAAACTACAACAGAAACTAAGTAAATCAAAGACAACTTCATAGTTTGTAGTTTTCAAAGTTATTCTTTCTGGACGAGCTCTTTATCTCGTCAAACTCTCCTGCCCTGGAAACAAAAGCATCACAGAAAGAAAGTCCTTCGTCTCCAACCCATTAATATTTGAAGTCCAAGATGGCCGCCGCAGCTAACTGACCTTAGGAAAGGTGAAAGCTTGGAGCTCAGCCAGTCCAACAAACGTTAAGCTGTGGTAGCAGCTGAAAATCATCCAAACAGATTTTATTCTCCCTCACCTCTTCATCATGTCCTTGTCTCCTCCTCCTCCTCCACAGCTCTCCCTGACGTGGAGGGCGTCGTACGTCAGCGTGTACTCGGTCTCGTCGTTGTAGTCGGGTCCCAGCAGCGTTCGGGCCCAGATGCCCATATCGTACGGTGGCAGCGTTCCGCCGAACTCCGACGGCAGACACTCGGGCTGGATGAGCTGGTGGAGTGAGTTCAAGTTGTTACCGTGGAGGAAGATCTGAGGAGGACAGGAGGAACCGGCAGGAGACGAGGAAAGAAGATGAGAGGAGGAAACAAAAAAGGAAAAGAGAAGATGACAGGAAGGAACAGTGAGGAGATGGATGAAGTTAGGATGAAGTGGAGTAATAAGTCTGAGAACTTAGCCTTTAAGTAATGTTCCTGCTCCTTTCAGGTAAAAGCATTGGGATGTTCCCACCCCTTTTTGGGTGAGAAATGAAATGCTCCGCCCCTTTTTTGGTAAAAATAACTTTGTTCCTTTCTTTGGATCAAAACTGCAATGTTTGCTCTCTCTGGGTGAGAACTATAAGATTCTGGCCTCTTATAACCACAAGGTTCTTCCCCATTTAGGTGAAATAATGAACAGAAGAGAAATATAATAATAATAATAATAATAATAATAATATAAGAGGAAATTAAGACAAAGTATTAAACGAGTGATAATAAGAAAGTTTATGATAAGAAAACAGAACAACACTGCTGGAGGAGAAGCCATGGAGCTGACAGGAAGTAGAAGATAAATAAATAAAATGTGACGGCAGAGACAGAGAAGAAGCGTGGATGTTCAGGAGGATCAGAGGATAAAATCTGAACCACGGTGAGGAAGAGGAGTACTCACCCTTTTCCTGGTCTTGTCCTTGAGGAAGGGTTTGATGATGGTGTACATGGCGTGAATGTACCAGGGCTGATTCACAAAGTGGATCCCACCGAACCGAGCCGGGAAGCTGTCCTGAGGAGATAAGGAGAGGAGGTTAGGAGAGGAAACATTTCAGGGGTGGAGAGGAAGAGGAACTGACCTGAAGGCCCTCGATGGCCAGTTTCAGGATGTTGGGCGTCAGCTTGGATGCCTGTTTGAAGGAGAAGTTGCTCCAGTCGATGATAAGGGTGAAGCCGTTGATCTGGAGCTCCGGGTTCTCTATCAGAACCTCCAGAGAGAGCAGGATGGCCCGTAGGATGTCTACGAAGGAGTTCCTGGTGAAAGGAGGCATCGATCAGCAGCTAATTGACCGAGACGAGCCTCTTGAGTGTTATCTACAGCTAACTGAGCTAACGGACCACGGTTCTGTTTGTTGGAGCTGGAGAGCAGAAGGGATCATTAAGCTCTTTGTGTCTCTGATCAATGAAGACAGACGTTTGTCCATCTGTCTCTGAGGGGACCAGTTTGACACCACCTGACACGAGTCCACAGAGCTTCGCAAAGGTTCAGACCTGTTGGACTGAAGGTATAAACACTTTCAACCATGACCTCCTCAAATCCTCATCACGGATGATCCGGACTTCCTGTGATCTTTTGAAGGTCAACAGTTCTTCAGGCCTCTAAGGGTCTTTTGCTGCTTTTCTCCCAGCTTCAGTCCAAAGTCTTCAGATAGTTGTATTTACATATAGTTTTATTTTAACCCTTCGATCAAGACGAGACGTTCACGTCAACAGAAAACCAACATGTCTGACCCCAGCAGTCATGAGAGCCCGGCCGAGGGTCGGTCCGACGTTAATCCCTGAAATCACCAGCGGTACCGCTCAGACACGCCGCGAGTTGAGCAAACAGCGACCTCCGAGGGCCAGAATCAGAACTGCATGAAGGCCGAGCTTTATGGCTACAAAGTTCTGGTTCTTGGCTCCTGTCCCCATCAGGAATCGTTATCCATGACCGTTTTGATAATTAATCCCCGACCAGTCTGGATTCACGAGGTCTCTAAACTAACCGATGTATTTACTGCTTCCTGTCTGCGTGTGTTCCTCTAAACTTTAAACAAATTGGATGAAACTTTTTGGTGCAGGTGTGGTCATGTTCACCTGCTCTGGTCCCAGTTTGAAGCAAACAAAATGAGGATCTTCCTGCCGTGCTGGTCGGGGTTCTCCAACACTCCGGGGAAACCGTCCATCAGAGCCCGTTTGATGCCGGAGTCGTCCACCTGGTTAACGTGCACATTGTGAAAACATGAATATTCAGATTACCTTTAAATTAAACCATGTTTGCTGTAAAAACTTGTAAAGATGGTCATGAGAAGAAACAGGACATAAACTCCTGAGGAACTTCCTGATGTTCTTTACTCAACCAAAGGTCCGTCTGAGGACGGGGCAGGACAAATCACCTTAAATGTTCTGTTGGTTGAAAACTAAACATGTGACTTTACACAAAAATAACCCAAAGTAAAAACTAACACAAGAGATCTCTGCCGATTTAACTCCTGTAAAGTCCAAATGAAGGTGAAGCTCGTGTTCTTCTTCAGAAACAAATCATGTTTCTCCCTTAGAGCTGAAGCTTCTGGTCACTGCTACGTTTTTTACCAATACTATGGAGATGTTGTCTATATGTGTATTCAAACAGTTGTCTAGTCCTTACTGGTTATAGCTATCGTACTCATCACTGTGATCTCTATCTTAAAACCAGTATGTCTTCCCAGTATAACAGGCGACATGTGGATGACTCTGGTGTACAAGTCTCTCCTGGGCCTGCTTCCACATTATTTATGTACTTTTGTTCAAAGGATGGACAGTACTTATGCCTTACGCTCTAAGGACTAGGTTTCATAATAATTTATATTAAAAAAGGTTCTGTCCGTTCAAAAGAAACCTTAAAACTCTGGAACATGTCGAGGTTCTGCTGCCTGAACTGGAAGTACTGGGCCAGCAGGCGGAACGTCTCCACGTGGTCAAACTTTCTGGCTCTGAGGAAGCGAATGATGAATTCATCGTCTGTTCGCAGAAAACCGATGTCCGGCCGTGTTACGATCATGTCCCGTACCTACGAGAACCAGGAACAGAACACGTAGATTCTGAATCTTATCTGCGTTTTACAAACAGAACGACACGTGGAAAAGTCTGACAGTGAGATTTATCGATATTTCTGTAGGAGCTAAACTGATTATCTTCTTTAAGCATCTTCTAAAAATGGACCCTTGTAACCGATTATTACCTCGACCCAAACAAGTTGGATCGATCCATCTGTCCAAACAAGTTGGATCGGTCTAAACAGGTTGGATCGATCCATCGACCTAAACAAGTTGGATTGATCCATTGACCTAAACAAGTTGGATTGATCCATCAACATAAACAAGTTGGATTGATCCATCGGTCTAAACAAGTTGGATTGATCCATCGACCTAAACAAGTTGGATTGATCCATCGACCTAAACAAGTTGGATCGATCCATCGACCTAAACAAGTTGGATCGATCCATCTGTCTAAACAAGTTGAATTGATCCATCGGTCGAAATAAGTTGGATCGATCCATCGGTCTAAACAAGTTGGATTGATCCATTGACCTAAAAAAGTTGGATTGATCCATCAACATAAACAACTTGGATTGATCCATCGGTCTAAACAAGTTGGATTGATCCATCTGTCTAAACAAGTTGAATTGATCCATCGGTCGAAATAAGTTGGATCGATCCATCGGTCTAAACAAGTTGGATCGATCCATCGACCTAAACAAGTTGGATCGATCCATCGACCTAAACAAGTTGGATTGATCCATTGACCTAAAAAAGTTGGATCTATCCATCATTCTAAACAAGTTGGATCGATCCATTGACCTAAACAAGTTGGATCGATCCATCGACCTAAACAAGTTGGATCGATCCATTGACCTAAACAAGTTGGATCTATCCATCATTCTAAACAAGTTGGATCGATCCATCGACCTAAACAAGTTGGATCGATCCATCGACCTAAACAAGTTGGATCGATCCATCTGTCTAAACAAGTTGGATCGATCCATCAACCTAAACAAGTTGGATCGATCCATCTGTCTAAAAAACTTGGATCGATCCATCAACCTAAACAAGTTGGATCGATCCATCGACCTAAACAAGTTGGATCGATCCATCTGTCTAAACAAGTTGGATCGATCCATCGACCTAAACAAGTTGAATCGATCCATCGACCTAAACAAGTTGGATCTATCCATCATTCTAAACAAGTTGAATCGATCCATCGACCTAAACAAGTTGAATCGATCCATCGACCTAAACAAGTTGGATTGATCCATTGACCTAAACAAGTTGGATCTATCCATCATTCTAAACAAGTTGGATCGATCCATCGACCTAAACAACTTGGATCGATCCATCGACCTAAACAACTTGGATCGATCCATCTGTCTAAACAAGTTGGATCGATCCATCGGTCTAAACAAGTTGGATCGATCCATCGACCTAAACAAGTTGGATCGATCCATCTGTCTAAACAAGTTGAATTGATCCATCGGTCTAAACAAGTTGGATCGATCCATCTGTCTAAACAAGTTGAATTGATCCATTGGTCTAAACAAGTTGGATCGATCCATCGACCTAAACAAGTTGGATCTATCCATCATTCTAAACAAGTTGAATCGATCCACCAGTCTAAACAAGGTGGATGCTCACTGTCTTTGTCTA